ACAGGCAGGTCGCTGGCAGCATTACTGCCTGCCGACCCGACTGAACGACCCCAACCCACTCTACCGCTATTCGATATTTCGTATGCAGATGATGGAACCGTCATCCTAATCATGCCGGCGAGCCAGCTGTGTGATGGACTCAGCCGAGTTCTTGTGTGTGTTTCCGAGGCGTTTGCCACCCGAGGACACAAACTCAACCTGGGACCATCCAAAACGGCGGCTTTGATTTCGTGGCGCGGACCCGGATCAAACAAAGGCTAGGCATGCTGCGTGGCATGAATGTGGAGGACACCTTGCTGGCGTCTCGGATCTTCTGGGACGGATCCAGGTACCATTGTGCACAACTATATCCATCTGGGATCGGTGTTCGATGCGGGAGGTGTCATGACTCCAGAAATCCGTTATCGGTCGTCGTCATCGGTCGCCTCTCTGCAAGTGCTACGACGACGGGTGTTTGCCACCGATGACTTGGATGCGAGAGAGCGCCTTATTCTTGCAGACAGTCTCGTCATGGCCAGTCGACTGTACAATGCAGGGGCTTGGCCCGCCCTCACTCGTGCCGAAGCACATCTCATGCACGTTGAGGTCATGAAGATGTATCGAGCAGCCGCCCGTGTCAGCTATCGCGAGGACAGTTCGCAGGTCTCTGATCAGTTGGTCCTGGCACGTTTGCGTCGACCCTCTCCAGTCATGATCCTACGGGCCGCCAGACTTCGGCTACTTGGGTCCTTGGTCCATGCAGGTCCCTCGGCCGTTTTCGGGCTTGTTGCGGCCGAGTGGCGCGCAGCCACCGCTACGAACACACAAAATCGGACTATCCTGGGACTTTGGTTTGATGATCTCGGATGGCTACAACTGGCGCTCCCCACCCTGGGTGATTTACCCCTCCCAGCCGACGACTTTGCCGCATGGGAGTCTCGTATTCGTCGCAGTCAGTCAGCATGGAAGCGCATTGTTCAGGCTGGATTACATGCACACGCACAGCATGCAGCACGTGTGACGCTGGCGCAGCATGTCGAACGCCAGTTCTTTGCCGTTGTGAAGCCAGTCGGAGTGCCCGACCGAATCTACACTAACGAGCGCGGGCTCATCGTGGATCCCCCACCCCCTGCCGCACATCCCACGCATACATGTCCGTGGTGCGGCACACAGTACTCACGCCATCGAGCCCTTCGGACACATATCGCGCGCGCACATCGACAGCTATCAACACTCGGAAAGGGATACGCATGCCCCAGCGGCACATGCGCTACGTGCCTCACTACGTTCTACGCTCGAGCGCACCTAGTGAACCATTTATCAGTGGGATCACCACGGTGTTTACTTGTGTTTGCTACAGACCGACAACCCAGCCCACCACCTGCAGCCACAACCCATCCCCAAGCCACCGGGCACTACCGCCCAAGTACGTATACCCCAGCGGCACGTGGTCGTGCCCACTACCAAGGCGCCCGGCCCACTAACTGAGGAGGCCACCAACCACCTCCACCTTTCACAGCAGGACGCACGCATGGCCATACTGGAGGCTGACCCCTATCTTACCGACGACGCCCGAGCAGCCTTCATACCACCACCAGCACCTCTGCCAGGTCTAGATGACGTGGATGCCGAGCCCTACCCACCCGTCCAGACATAACGCTACCCAACCCGCATGTTCCTACCCGACCAGTATACAGGCCTGGCGGCGCAGGCATTACCTGTTGCCATCAAGAGGGCGGAGTATTATGTCCTCAACTTGTTTTGTGGACGTCGGCGGCCAGAGGATATTCAGGCATGTTTAGCACTACGACGTTGATTTTACGGTCACGGTCCTGTCCATAGACATTGGTATTGATCCTGTCCTTGGGAATATGATGCGGCCCCAGACCTTGGAGGTTTGGAAGGAACACATCCGTGCGCGCAGGGTGGTCCTCTCTGGAGGTGGGCCTCCCTGCGAAACCTGGTCCGCCATCCGATGGGCTCGGAACATGGGGCCCCCACCACTGCGGTCCCACGACGATTTCTGGGGTATGCTTGCCATTACACCGCGTCAAATGGAGCAGGTACGTTTTGACAACGAGCTCCTAGGAGCCATGATCGAACTTTTCGCCGTTCACCTAGCCGTCGGCACTTGCTGTTGGATGGAGCACCCAGTGCCAGCGTCGTGGCGGGAAGAGGCTGTGAGTTCATTCTTGTGCCCACTCTTGCGTGCGATCATGTCGTCCCCTGCGGCCTCTACAACCGATTTCGATCAGTGCGAACGCGGACAATGTGCTCGCGCGCCTACACGAATTCTGGCTTTGAGGATGTGTACCCTGCATGATCGCCTTGTGGAAACGCCTAGCCGCGGACGTTGCTCACACGGTCGGAACGCCCACGAAGTGCTCTTGGGCTTCGACGGTCAAAAGGATGAATGGCGGGCGGCCAAAAAGAAGACCTATCCCCCCGCGCTTTGTCAGGTATTGGCCCACGGTATCGTGGATACGGTCAATCATATGCGTGTGACGAGCGACTCTCAGGCATGGCCCGAGGACCTGGAGGAGGCTGAAGAGGCACTCCGTGGGGCACTAGAGGCTTTTTTTATGTTGCTTGGGACCCGTATCTAGACACGAACGAGGAGTGGGCCCCCGATTTCGTAGGAGCTGCGACGCGACGCCTACGCGCCGATCCTGAAAGCTCTAGGTTCTTGCCCCCCGAGCTCCCAGGTGAAAGGCCAGTTGCCGATGTGCCCGAACCGTCAATTGTGCACGACCCCAGCGCCACTCCTCGGCAGGCAGGGCCTGCCGAGGCAGACGAGGAGCAGGAATGCGCAGACGCCCTTGCCTTTCTAGAAGGCACAGCGTCTCCGTCACATGTCGCCCCTGCTTCCGCCCCCCCTCCTTTGCCTACTCCAGTCCAGCTCGCGGATGCACAGCGTGACATGATTCAACGCAGACGCGCTGGGGCCAGATATAGACGTAAGGCGCGCCTTGCCGCACGCATGGCTCATGGACGTTGCAGCCAAATTTCGGCAGCGGCATCTTGGGCTAAGTAGAAGGTTGGGTGGGGGCTTAGACGGAGGGTAAGGAGGGATCACGAGCGAGGGAGCGCCCCCCTTTTTCGATCTCTTGCTCTCTCACCGCCAGCCGCCCCTTCCCTTGCCGCCCCGCGCTTCTTCAGTCATGAAGCTATCTATGTGATGTTGACCCCTCGCTGCCAGATCTGCCAAGTACGTCAGAGGCGGCTGAATTTCAAGCATGCCCCATGGCTAGTGCTAGGGATGTTGCAGGTCCCAGCGGACTCAGGTCCAGGCCCCTGGAGTTTCGGCCGAAGGAGGAGCGCACTACTCAGAGATAGGCGTACGTCGTGTCTTGCCGCACGCGCATTTCTTTGGACGACGCAGCCGAATTTCGGCAGCGGCATCTTTCGCTAGTAGAAGGTTGGGTGGAGTTTCGGGATCAGGTTGGGTGGAGGTTGAGGAGGAATCACGAGCGAGGAAGCAACCTCCCCTTTCCGCTCTCTCGCTCTCTCGCCGCCAGCCGCCCCTCCCCTCGCCGCCCCGCGCATCATTTGTACCCTCCCTGCCTGCCTCTCGCCGCGCTGATTGATCAGTCAGATTCGCTACGACGTGCCTGGGTGTGGGTCAGGTCCAGGTGGCCCTGGCAAGCAAGCAGCCAGGGCCTGCGGGGCACGGACCCCCGCACACTTGTGTGCGGGGCGACTGCAGTCCTCCCCCTGTCGACCGAGTGCGCCCCACCCCTGCTGGTGCGGCCTCTCCAAGGCTGGCCGGTGGGGGGCAGCGCCGTATCGCCCCCCCCCGCCCGCGAGGTACAGTGGCTGGCTCGCCAGCCTGCCAGCGAGCATGCCCTCTCTCTCTCTTTTTGCACGCTGCCCGCCTCTCTTTGAAGGGACGGATGCAGGGAGGGTCAGTCGGGTTGCTGGGCGGGATCGGACATTTCATCGTGCGCACTCTCTTGCGCACACGACAGCGCCATTTTGGCAGCTTATCGCTTTGTGATTTCTTGGGCGGGGAACCAACGACACAAAGCCTGCAGGGCCGCCGTCTTCCTTTGTGCAGCCTGCCGCCTTGCTCGTCCTAGTCCTAGCGCAGACCGCGATTTTCAGTCGCTGCCGAGCGGGCCTGTGCGCCCTTCGCCCTGCCGTGCGGGTTGATCCCCGCGGCTGTCAGCTGATGATTCTCTCCCGCGGGTCTCAGACCGCGGCGCGTCTCGTCTATGTGGGTCGGATTGGTGGATGGGTTATTTGGGATGTGGGTATGGGGTACTGGTACTGTGTACTGCAATCCTTAGGTGCCCGTGCGATCCTGCATTTTCAGTTGCATCGCTAGCCGCAGCGCCACCGTAACTCGACATGCTAGTTGCCTCAACGAGCAGGCAATCCAAATCCTACCCCCTCCGTGCACCCTCCTTGCTAGTCGAGTGCTTGCCCTTTGGAGGCCTTGGGAGGGTGGAAGTTGAAGGTCGATTGCGGCTTAATGCCGCAGCGGGGCCCAGGTCCCATGAATTCGAGAATCTGTACCTGCATTGTGCATGCTTGCTTGCGTGCTTCAATTCGATGTGTAGCTTCTTCGCGATGCCCCCTCGGAACTCTGGCCTCGGTTGTTTCGCTCGGTCGTCGTCCCTCCGCCGTGTGTCCTCTATGTCCCTCGTTCGCTCGTCTCCTTCGGGCCCTCGCTCGGTCCCCGCTCCTGCAGCGCATGGGTTCTGAGCGTTCGATTCTGACCCATGCCCAGCTCAACCCTCCTGCCTGCGCCCTCCGACGGTGGAGGCGGCGACGGCGGCGACCGCGAGCATGTTCGCGACCGCCCCCGCGACGACGACAACGACGAGGACGACGACGTTCACCACCGCAGCGACCTTGACCATGAAGATGACGGCGACGATGACGGCGGCTGACGATCACGACCTCAACCAAGACGACCACGATGACGACCGCGACCACGATTAAGTCGACGGTGACGTCGGCGACGTCGGCGGCGACGATGGAGGCGGCGACCGTCGGCGCTTCGGTCCATGCGGCGGAGGCCAGCCTTCCAGCGCCCTCCGCCACCGCGTACCGCGCGGTGTCGGACCGAAGCCCGGCCTCGTTGCCGAGGCTGGAGGAGCCCTGGTCGTCGTCGTCGTTGCCGCTACCGCCGCAGCCGTCGCCGTCGCCGTCGCAGTCGCCCTGGTCCTTTGTTGTGGTAGTGGTAGTGGTCGTCCTCATCATCGGCGTTAGTGTCGTCGTTGTCGTCGTTGGAGTCGTTGGTGTCGTCGTCGTCGTCGGCGTCGGCGTCGGCGTCGGCGTCGGCGTCGGCGTCGGCGTCGGCGGCGGCGTCGTCGTCGTCGTCGTCGTCGGCGTCGGCGTCGGCGTCGGCGTCGTCGTCGTCGTCGTCGTCGTCGTCGTCGTCGTCCAAGGTTCGAGGGTCGAGGCTCGAGAACGTAGGGTTTTGGACGTTTCCAGCCACTTTTGGGCCTCCGGACACCTCGCGAAAACCTCCCGATTGGGCGCCAAGAAGTCTTGGTTACTTCCGCGTCTTTTGAAGACTTCTTGGATGTGGAGGGCGACTCGATCGTCGTTGCGGTCGTCGTCGTGGCGCTGGCGCTGGCGCTGGCGCTGGTGCTGGTCGTGGTCGTGGTCGTGGTGGTGGTGGTCGTCGTCGTCGTCGTCGGCGTCGTCGGTGTTGTGGTGGTGGTGGTCGTCGTCGTGCTCGTCGTCGTGGTCGGCGCTGCCACCGCCGCGGCCCCCTGAGGGCTAGAGGCGGAGGCCTGGCGGCACGCAGACCGCAACTTCTGGCACATTTTACATTTTCAGTCCCAGGGCCTCCGCGGCCCATCTTCCCGAAACCCCCACTTCTGAGAATGGCCCCTGCAAAGCACCTTGACAGCAAGATGCTGACAGGGTCTTAAGAGGGCTCCGAGGAATTCCTGAGAGGTTATCTGAGAGTGTCGCGACAAGGTCTTGAGAAGGTCTTGAGGGTCCTAAGACGATCTCTAGAGGGTCTTGCGAGGGTCCTGAGCGGATCCTTCCAGAGGGTCCTGAGAGTGTCCTGAGAGGCTCATGAGAGGCCCTCGAGGGGCTCTTGAAAGGCTCTCCAGAGGGTCCTGACAGGTCCGTTAGAGGCGATTCAGAGGGTCCTGACTTCTCTTCGTATTGCATTGAACAGCACTGGTATGTCTTGATTGTATTGGCTTAGTGTTTTTTCGCCAAACGGTGCTTGCATTTAGGGTTCCTTTCCTGTTCTACAGGAACTGGGCTCGTGTGTCGCCCTTGCCGGCTTGCCGTCGCCGCGTCGCCGATGCCGTCGTCGCTCGTCGTCGCCTGTCGCCGCTTCGTCGCGGGCTGGTGTGTTGCCCCGGCCGGCTTGTCGTCGCCCCGTTGCCGCTCCGTCGCCGCTCGTCGCCGCCCGTGGCCGCCTTGTCGCCGCATTACATTGCAATCGCACTGCGTGGCACTGCTTTCGCATAGTTTGCAGCAAATAGCTCACATCACATAGCTTGTCCTTTTCATCAAGAGACTAGATTCTACCACCCTCCCGAGGCCAGACGTATCCGCTCCCCTTGGGCCCTGGGATCGTATGATGTTCATTGGATCTCGCTTCATCGCTTGTCTTTCAGTGAGATCATAACATCCCAGGGAGACCCTTTATCGCCCCCTCCTCATCCTTGTAAAATCAGGCTATCCGCGTACACTCGTCTGTCAACAACGATACACTCCCAACAACGATACACTCCCAACGATCCACTCCCAACAATCCCAACAATTGTTTTGTGGTCGAAATCCTTCCAAAACCTTCGTCTTCGTCAGGAATTCGAGATCGAGGTTCCCGGACACACGCACATAATCACTTGTTTAATCGCTTCGCTCATTCCGCCGGCCCTGGAGCGCTATTTGGGGCCTCTTGGGGGCGTCTTGGGTGCCTCTTGGGGGCTTCTTGGGAGCGTCTTGGGGCTCCTGGGCGGCGTCTTGGGCTCCCCTGGGGCCTCTTAGGGGGCTCTTGGGGGCCCCTTGGGGCGGGAGGGGGGGTAGTCGATTGCAGCCACCCCCTCGGAGGCCACGATCCTCGTGAGGGGTGGCGAAAAATAGCCTCCCCCTGGGGATCGCCCGGGACCCGGCCGGGACCGAGCTGGGGGTCAGCCGAGGTTTTTTACCTAACAGCGAAGACTGATAGGTTTCTAGTAGGGTCAAAAGAGAGAGCATCATGATGCCCCAGGGGGGTCTGGGCGCGATCTGGGGACGGGTGCCGGGGACACCTTTTTTAGCAAACAGTAACGCACTTCGTGGTCTTCAAGTTCCCAGAACTCCATTCCTGGGCATGATTTTGAATGCCCGGAGCCAACTGTAGGCCACTTCGTGTTCTTCGAGTTCCCAGAACACCATGCCCGGGCCACATTTTGAATGCCCGGAGCCAATTGTAGGCCACTTCTTGGGCGCCGTGTAATGGGGGGGTCATAAATTGGGGGGTGGCGAGCGTGGTCCGAAAAGGTACCCAAACGGTACCTAAACGAGCCCCCTGGGGCTCTGGAGGGGCCCGAAAGGGGCACGAAAGGGGACCTTTTCTGACCCCCCCATTTGTGACCCCCCCATTAAGCCATGCCCAAACTTCGTGTTCTTCGTGTTCCCAGAACACCATTCCCGGGCCACATTTTGAATGCCCCGAGCCAATTGTAGGCCACTTCGTGTCCTTCGTGTTCCCAGAACACCACTCCCAGGCTACATTTTGATTGCCCGGAGCCAACTGTGAGGCTGAGGCTGAGGCAGGCTGAGGCTGAGGCAGGCTGAGACTGAGCCTGAGGCAGGCTGAGGCTGAGGCTGAGGCTGATGCAGGCTGAGGCTGAGAGGCTGAGGCTGAGGCTGAGGCAGGCTGAGGCTGAGGCCGAGGCAGGCTGAGGCTGAGGCTGAGGCAAGCCGAGGCAGGCTGAGGCTGAGGCTGAGCTGAGGCAGGCTGAGGCTGAGGCTGAGGCTGTGGCTGAGGCTGAGGCTGCGGCTGAGGCAGGCTGAGGCTGAGGCTGATGCAGGCTGAGGCTGAGGCTGAGGCAGGCTGAGGCTGAGGCTGAGGCGAGGCAGGCTGAGGCTGAGGCCGAGGCAAGCCCAGGCAGGCTGAGGCTGAGGCTGAGCTGAGGCAGGCTGAGGCTGAGGCTGAGGCTGTGGCTGAGGCTGAGGCAAGCTGCGGCTGAGGCTGAGGCTGAGGCTGAGGCTGAGGCATGCAGGCTGAGCTGAGGCTGAGGCAGGCTGAGGCTGAGGCTGAGGCAGGCTGAGGCTGAGGCTGAGGCCGAGGCAGGCTGAGGCTGAGGCTGAGGCAGGCTGAGGCTGAGGCTGAGGCTGAGGCTGTGGCTGAGGCTGAGGCAAGCTGCGGCTGAGGCAGGGCTGAGGGCTGAGGCTGAGGCAGGCTGAGGCAGGCTGAGGCTGAGGCTGAGGCTGAGGCTGAGGCTGAGGCTGAGGCTGAGGCAGGCTGAGGCTGAGGCTGAGGCAAGGCTGAGGCTGAGGCTGATGCAGGCTGAGGCTGAGGCAGGCTGAGGCTGAGGCTGAGGCAGGCTGAGGCTGAGGCTGAGGCCGAGGCAGGCTGAGGCTGAGGCCGAGGCAAGCCGAGGCAGGCTGAGGCTGCGACTGCGAGAACAGCAGAATTCTACAACTGGATTCTCACCTAGATCTTAAGGGGAATGCTTCCAGATATGCTTCTACACATCGCTGTTAGGTTGCTTTGCCGGGATAATTTCGTCCGGGGGCCCCCAGGGGCCGCCCCGCGCGCGCGAACTAGACATATTTTTAGTTACCGGAGATTTTAGCACGCCTCTGGCCCGTTGGGCCGGCGAATTCAACATTGGTTCGGGAAAAAAAGCCTGCGCGCGTGCTCTTGCGAATTATTTCGAAACCATAGGTTTTCCAACATGGCCGTTAAGTGATACCACGCGGGCCTCTCGCGCGCGCATGTCGACATCATTCGAACGCCCTTCGCGCTTGCTGGGGCGGGCGCGATCCCTGTCAAATAATACCATGCGGGCCACTCGCGCGCGTCGGTCGCGCGCGCGTGTCGCAATCTTTTCAAAACCGCATCAGCGATGCATGGACAGCATTATCGTGATCGGTGTTTCCAGCATCGGCGCTGTCATTAGCCATGTCGTCGTCATCATCGTCACCACCATCGCTACTACCAACCTCGTTGGCGTTATGATCGACGTCATCATGACATCGCGCCCGTTCGAGCCACCGACTCGCATTGAAGTGCCCGCTCGCCAGCGTGGCCCCTGATGCGCGCTGGGAAGTTTCTACCCGTGAGCGCCATCGCGGCTTCAAAGGCGGCGTCAAATTTGCTGGACGCCTTAGGCGCGACCTTACGAGCGCCTACGCGGCCGCAGAGATGCGCCAGTCCTGACCAACCAGTCATCGTCATCGCCGCCGCATGATGCGGGCCACTCCCCCGCGTCGGCCGCGCGCGCATGTCGAAATCGAATCAACACCTTCATCAGCGACACGTGGAGATTATCATCACCATCAGCGTGACCAGCATCGGTGCCGTCATTGGCCATGCCGTCGTCATCGTCATCATCGCTACCACCGTCGCTACTGTCATCGTCGTTTCCGCCGTTGTCGAGGTCACAATGATATCGCGCCCGCCCGAGTTATCGACCCGGTTTGAAGTGCCCGCGCGCCAGCGCGGCCTCCATCGCTCAGCGCCACTGTTTCCGCGCCGGTTGTGCCAAACTAGCTAGCCGTTCTGCGCGCCAGCTCTCGCGGTCTCAGAGATGCGCTTTTCAGCGCCAAGCAGTCATCGCAATCGCCGCCGCATAGGTTAGGCAAGCCAAATTGCGGGTGGGAGGGTGGGGTCTTTGCGCAAACAGTGGGGTTGACAAGCCCAAATTCTTATCAATTAATCCGTCAGGGCTTCGCCCCCTGCCGTCGGCCTTCTCTCTATCATAATGGGATACATCAGAGTCGCGTCGGTGCGTCTCGGCGCTGCCTCGGCGCATCTTGAAACATCTTGCGGGGACGGATAGGAATCATCAGCGCATATTGAGACGTTGGCGTTATCCTATTGGCCTTCTGCCCATCCCGCCACCGTGCCTGGGTTGTGGGTCTAAGGCCTCTTGTATATGTGTTGGGGCGTCGTGGGGAGCCTTTCGGATGTTTCTTGGAGGCGGTTTGGGCACTTCTTGAGGGCCTCTGGGGGCCTCGTGGGGTATCTGTGTGTGCCTCTTGGAGAGGCCTCTTGGGCGCCTCTTGGGGCCTCTTGGGGCCTATTGAGGCCTCGTGGCGGCCTCTTGGGGCCTCCCGGGGGCTTCTTGGTCCCCTGCTTGGGCCCCTATTGGGGCCGTCTGGGGGCCCTCTTGGGCCGTCTTGGGCGCTTCTTGGGCCATCTTGGAGCCCTTTTGGGCTGTCTTGGGGCCCTCTTGGAGGCCTCTTCGGCTGTCTTGGGGCGGTCTTGTGAGTTTCTTGACCCGTGCTTGAGCGTCAGAAAGCCGAAAATGCGAGAATGCTAAAATCGTTCAAAAACCTTCGTGCAATCACCGATTTTGGCCTCTTGGGGCTCTCTCGAGAGGCCTCTTGGAGCGCTCTTGGGGCCTCTTGGGGCTCTCTTGGGCCGTTTTGGAACCATTTTCGGAAGCCTTGGGGTGCTCTTGGCCTCGGCAGTGCCAGCACGGCGCAATTTGCGAAGGTTTATGGCTTCGCGGACGCGACTCTGGTGTAATTTGCAAAGTTTTGTTGCCTCGGGGACGCAACAATTGCATAATTTTCGAGGGTTTGTGACTTCGGGGACGCGAACATTGTGTAATATACGGGGGATTATGGGTTCGGGGGCGCGGATATCATGTATTTTTCTGTGTCCCATGCCCCCCCGGGAATTCAGGGCACGCGATCCGGGCGTGGTAAATTTGCAGTTTGGGGCTCCCACACCTCTCGCGGATTTCAGCAGTTTATTGCTTGGGGCATGACGGGCGTCATGGCCCCCGCCCCCCTGCCCCCCTATGACGTAACCCCCCTCCCCTCCCCCCCGGGGCGCTCTGGGCTTTGCCGCCGTGCGCGTTGGGATCCGCGTAGGTGTCCGCGTAGGAATCCGCGTAGGAGTCTGGTCCGCAGTCATCGTCGTCCTCGTCGTCGTCCTCGTCGTCGTCGTCGTCGTCGTCGTCGTCGTCGCTTGTGGCTCGTCGCTCTTCGCTCATCGTCGTCGTGCGCACGGACGCGGCTGGAACCTGTTTTTAACTCGGGGCCGATGACGGCCATCATCTGGGGGGGTGGAGGGGGTCGATGACGTCACGTTTTGCGCCGGCGGCGTCTGGGAATGTCTAGGAATGGCGGAAGACGGGTAGCCCCAGCATGTAGGTCGCGATCTTCACCACAACGTCTGTGTACACCACAGTGCCTGCGTGCACCACAGCGCCTGTGTACACCACACCGCCATGTACACCACAGCAGCCTCGTGCAACACAACGTCAGTTTGTGCCACCGTGCTCGCGGGCACAACAGCTCTCGTGTACACCGCATCAGCCGTGTGCAACACAGCATCAGTGTATACCACAATGCCTGCGTGCATTGCAGTGGCCGTGTACGCCACGGCGCCTGCGTGCACCACAGCAACCATGTGCAACACAGCACCACTTTTGCAGATAGAATATTAGACGCAGTCCGTATGACAAAATGGAGCCCTAATGTATTCTACAGAGCAGTAGAAAGGACAATTTATGGACAAAGGAGTGCCGCTGGAATCTACGAGTCCCCCCGAGCCCGCCCGCACCACCATAACTTCTCCCATCTGCGTCCAGGAGGCTCCAGCTAAATTGGCCGTCCGAGAACCAGGTGGACCGATTCAATCGACAATTCTGCGGTGCACGCTGAGATGCGTACGTGCGTTGTAGCGCCAACCCGCACGAGGAGGAGGAAGAGGAGGAGGAAGAGAGGGTGGAAGTGGCGGAGGAGGGAGGAGGGAAGAACGTCGCATTCGATTATCAGCACTTTCCTGGCGTGCTGTTTAGTTGTCCGCAGCAGATCCTCACATACATGCTCCTTCTACCTGTCCAATGCACGCAGGCACTGTGGTGTACACTAGCGCTGCGTTGCACGCGGATGTTGCGGTGTAGACAGGCGCTGTGGCGTGCACAGGCGCTACGGTGCACGCAAGCATTGTGGTGTACACGGGCGCTGTTTTGCACATGGTTGCTGCGTTGGACGCATGTACACCGGCGCTGTAGTGTACGCAAGCATTTGGTGTACGCATGTGTACGCGGTGTTGCGGTGCACCCAGGCGCTGTGGTGTACATGCGCGCTGTAGTGCACGCGAGCGTTGTGGTGTACACAGGCGCAGTGGGGCAGATCGCCACCTACATGCTGCTCGCGTCGTCGTCGTTGTCGTCGCTCGTCGCTCGTCGCGTCATGCGCGCGGGCGCGGCTGTGGTGCCGGAGCCACACGGCGGGGGGGGCGTTACGTCACATCCCCCCCCGCCCCCCCCATGACGCCCGTCATCGCCGAACAAAAAGGAACGCGCTCCAGTAGGAGACAGAAAGCAGGAATGTAACATTGGAGACTTGAAACTGTAATTGGTGCAGGGAGCAGCAACTTCGTCCTACAGCCTGGTGGCCCAGCAAGAGGCCTGGCGGATTGCACCGCGTAGATCGTACCATATCGCTTGCTAGCACACATTGTTTGGTGCTCGCGATGGCTAACATTATGAATGTATGTCGTGTCGCCGTTCGGGCAAGAGATCCACCATCACGTTGTCGAGACTATTGGTTTTCTTGGACGGATGTTGGAATGATGCCGTCTCCACGGTCGCCTAAGAGGCATCCGACCGATGATAAAACCTATTGTGGCAGTGACGAAGGTGAACGGAGTGGGAGAGGAGAGGGTACGCGATATCAGGCATGAAGAGCGGGGAAGGGAGCAGGATACAGTGCCGCATCAGGAGATGCGCCGCACCGTGCAGAGCCTCCTGAACAAAATATGCCCAGAGAACGTTGCGACCATCGCGGAGCAAATTGGTGAGGTCAATCGGGTATGTACATGTTGCCGCTCCCTTCCCCCTGGTAGTTCAGAGTAGGCCAGAAATTGTCAGCGTCCATGTGGCCGCCACCAAAACACGGAACAAAGATATACATGGCACATAGTCCATTTGTGTTTGCGAAAAGCCGTGTCGTGTCCCATGGAGGCACAGACGCTTGTACTTGCAGCTTGGCGACCCCTTTGGGGGTGCCCTTCTAGATGCCCATTGTTTCTCGGAGAATCTTAGGGTCTCTTGGGGACATCTTGAGGTCACTGAAGGGTCGTTGAGGGCATCTTGCAGCCGTCCTGTGGCCGTCTCCGGCCATCTTTGGGCCATACTTGAGTTGTTCAGAGCGCCAGAAAATAGACTCGGACACGTGTTTGCGTCGACAGGGCGGTGCCGCCCTGAAGTTTACAGAAGCCTGGCCACACAGTTTATTTGCCTTGTATCATGCTTCAGCGCGACGGATTCTGGTACCTTGATTGCACAGTAGATCATTGTTCGATCCACTGTCTAGACACTTCCAGGATGTATGTACAACAGCAGCGACGATGCAGCGATGGTAGCGCTCCCCATGTAAGTACGGCTGAGTCTGGCAGCCTAGAGTAGGCTCATTAGATCCACCTGTGTGATCCGCACAGTTTTTGTTTGCAATGGTTGACCAGGGGGCATCAATACAAGTTTTCCGCGCACGCCTTCGTTTGCTACATGGTCAATAAAGATTGTGCAGGATACATAGGAATAAAACTGGCCACGAGGCGCCGAAGGGCAGACACTTGGCGAAATCCTTGACAACTCAGCCAGTACGCGAGACCGTCACGAGCGGGTACCAGGCGAACGCCCAGAATACCCAGCCAGCATACGAGGCAGCTACATCGGGCGAAAGCGCAGATAACCCAGCTATTTACTTGGCATCGAATTCAGAGCCTGTCGGTGGAAGCATTATCAGGACAACTATCCTGCAGGATTAGAACACAATGTACCACTGCGCAGCATGAACATGTAAGGTTTCTGGACAACCAATGGGATTCACATGAAGTCGTTCAGAGACACTCTGTGACATGTTCAAGCATCCACACAGACTGGTTCAGGGAATCAGTTTTACATATCATTTTTCTTTCTTCGCTGCACAGCGTTCATTCTCTTTCTGCTCCAACATCTGGGTTTGGATGCCGTCAAGGTCTGGTTTGAATATTGCAGGAGTGCCACACATATCTCCTAATTGCCAGGTCAGGTTAATGGGGGCCGAGCGAAGGATGACTTGCTCGCTCAAGTGCCTGATTGATCTATAGAGACCAGCCTCACGGTGTTTTAGAGTCCGCCCGGAGCACTGACCATTTCTGCAGGTCTTCGATCGTCGGACATTATATGCATGTGTGTAAGTATGTACTTCGATTAGTCACATGGCGTTAAGCATGAGCAGCGCAGTGACGGAATATGCGCACGTATTTTGCCGAGTCCATTACCATGCAAGATGCCAGCGGATTACCAATGGCGAGTCATATCGCTCTGGCTGTTCCGCGGCCGTTTGGGCAGCGGGTGGTTATGTAAGAGTGGAGCCAGGCAGGTCGGACCTATTATGTTCCGCTGCGTCTCGATTTGTACCCATGTCCACCTGATCCTCGATAGCTTCCATCGATCATCCTTTTGGTAAAGGCATTTCTCGATACTCTACAGGAGGACGAGGGTGAGGGGTCGCAGGCATGGGCGCAGGCGCGGGAGGAGGATGAGGACCAGGGGCAGGAGAGCGAGGAGGCGGAGAAGGGAGGAGATCAGGGGACATGCAGGTCGGGGAGCCAACACCATTCCTGCGGCCAGGTGAGGATAGAGAACGCCGATGAAATGGAGAGCATAATCGGCCTGATTTTCAAGAAGGCCCGACGCTTTGATCCTTCTCCTGACGGTGGTTGCGTTGAGGGCTTCATGCGCTCCACCTTCCCAGACCTCCGACGTCGTAACTTTGTCACGACGTGCCGCTTCCTCTGGGAGTTTCCGACCCCATTCGCAGGACTGGCTGTTTGTTCGTCGTTGGACGTGCTGTTTTTTGGCGGACCCCGGGGCCCAAAGTCGACCCGTGAGTCTTGGACGCAGAAATCGCGAGCAGAAGCGCCCTCAGAGTTTTTTCCCGGAAAGGGCGTAGGCCCAGGGTTCTCTTTTAGGGGTTTACCCCCGGATCTGACGGCTGTAGGGCCGGCGAATTTCTCTTTAGGGCCGGCGAATTAGAATTTTGAGGATGTCCCTCGCGAAACGCTTGTTTTTCATAATTTGTTGAGGATGTTTCGAGCGAAACGCTTGTTTTGTGTTATAGATTGTCCTCTCCTGGGGACCTGCGGACCTGAATGCAGAGGATCTCTCAAGTGAAATGCTTTTTTTCACGTGCCCAGGTCTTGAGGATGTCTCGAGTCAGACGCTCGGTTTCACGCCTCCAGGTTGCCCAGACAGATGTCTAGCATGAGGATTTGTTGAGGATGTCTCGAACCAGGGGCTTGTTTTCACGTGTCCAGGTCGCTCAGGCGGATGCCTAGCATGAGGATGTGTCGAGGAAATCTCGATCTAGACGCTTGTTTGCACGTGCCCAGGCGGATGTCTAGCATGAGGATGTGCTGAGAACGTCTTGAGCGAAACGCGTGTTTTCACGTGTCCAGGTCGCCCAGGCACAGCACAGCCTTCGGCACGGTACATCAATATCGATACCCTTAGCATTGCAGCCTGGCATGTCGCCTGGCACGTTCCGCGGAGCGTCCCGTGGCGAGTCCCCCTGGCACGTCGCGCGGTGCACATTGGCACGTTCCGTAGCGCGTCCCCTTGGCACGTCCCGCGGTGCGTCCCCCTGGCACGTCCCCTGGCAAGTCGCCTGGCGCGTCCCTTGGGACGTTCCGCGGCGCGTCCTCCTGGCATGTCTCCTCTGTCGATTAGTTCTGGGGCAGCTACCATCTGCTCAGGCAGCTCGAGCTTAAGATCCAGATCAGTTCGGCCAGGACTCGGATGCCAGGGATGACTCGATCCACAACGCTACATAAAGCACAATCGCGGCATGGCACATCGCTGTTGAGCACGGCCCAGCACAGCACAGCTCTCGGCACAGTACATCAAGATCGATACATTCAGCATTGCATTTGCCCGTCGCCCAATCAGGTGTCTTGAAAACGTTGCCTTGCCTTATATTTCTATATTCCTTTCCGGGTTCGTGGGTCGATCATGTTTTGTGTTTGTCAGTTTTGCTTAGTTTTGCTCTTCGGAGTCCGCAGTGAGTAGGGTTGACGTGCACATCAGTCATCACATGTTAAGTAATTAGAGGTCAAGGATGTAATCAGCTGCGTAGTGCTTTGTGTGGCTGGTCTCGGACCCCATGCCCTGTCAGCCTTCGCAGTGGGCGAGGGTATATTTGAGTTCCTTGCTCTGGTTGATGTTGCACATGTGTCCGCTAGGTGTGAGTGTAGCTTTGGAATACGCGTTGCTGGCGAGTTGTGCAGTTTTGCCATCTGGTATCCGAGCGTGTGCCAGCTTCCGATGGTCTTGACACCTGTTTGCTTGGAGGGACTACGCTGTTTTGATGAGCCGTGTGAGTGTGCGCATCTCGTCATGTTGGCTGCCGCCGCTGGTCCAGCATGGACCACCGTCAACACCTACTTGACATGGATGAGAACCACGAAGGGGACGATCTTAACGAACCACTTGTTTCGGCAGAGGCAAAGCTGGTGTCGAAGCCATTAACTCAACGAGGCGAGGCCGACAACTGAAACGATCGATAGCGATTGGATGAATTCATTTGAAGTGAAAGGCGGCACACAGCAATGCTCGTACGGCTTTGGGAGACTGTTTTGGTATCACATGTCTCGATCTGACGGGTATCGAGATGGCTTCGCCTCGCAATTTCCAGTTACCTGAGGGAATCTAGGTGCCCCAATCGCAGCTCGAGGGAATCCGCTTTTTCGGATGTGCTGAAAAATACCAAATCGATAAGGTTTGAAGGGCCTTCTTTTTGGCTCTCCATTCCAAGGACTCCTTTGACAGGCTGGCGATCACCAATGTTACCCCTACACCTGGCGCGTTTCGTCAGTTTGGTTGCCATGGCGAAGCTTTCAGAACTCGGCATCGTTTGTGACGGAAGTGTCTTCGCGAATTATGTGTTACATTTCGGTCCTATATTTCTTGTTGCAGTGTGAATGGCCATTCTTGACAAAGGTGGTCTACGGTCACTACGGTCATGTCACATGTTGGCTGTAAGCTTGCGGCAGCTTGTCAATCTGCAGATCTCGGGGTTGCGATGCAATAGGATGCCCGTCGATGGTTTACAATCTATTGCACGGTCAATCCGAAACGCGGCAGTTGAAGTGTTTTAGTATCGTTGGATGTGATTTTGGGCTTGCAGTCGCCACTGCTGTCGCGACAATAATGTCGGAACGCTCTTTCTTGGAGCGAGTCTAGCTAAACGACAGGATGGCTCTGAATACCTTGAACGTGGTTCTTCAGTCCTTGCAAGGGCCGCTGCGCTTACCGAGTGCGATACTCGACAGCCCACGTGACTAGGAGGCGCGTATGCCGCTTCAAACCTCTTTGAACTTTTGGATAACCTTCCACGCCCCATCGACATGGTCCAGCTTCAACCAGTCAGACGACGCTTGGGGCCATCGTTGCCACTTAGACATCACATGCTCTTGATTTCGCCATTCCAGGCAAACGAACTTTTTCGCTTCCCAGGAGCCCACAGGACCCACTTGGATCAGCTTGGGGATAGCTTCGGATTCTTTTGTTCCGTCTTGGCTCCTTGGGACCCTCTTGGGGTCCATTTGGGTTCGAGGACTCGACCTATGTTTTCTGGTGGTGTGTTAAGTACTTGACGATTAACATAGTTGGACCCCCACAGGCGCCCTGGCGCTCTCGCTTCGGCGCTGGCTACATGTTCTTCGAAAGCGAGACTTGCGCTCTAGCATGTCGGGGGCCCGCCGGAACCGGCCCCCCAATGATTACAACGTTGCCGTTCGATGCACCCCCACCTTTTACTCAGGACTGTTGCGCTTGCTTGCCGCCGTTAACTTGCCTTCCAACAAACCAGAGCCCCCGCTCTAGACTTCTGCGTTTTTTGATCAGGAGTGGTACTCTCATCTTGGCGCCGCAAGGAAGCCCCCTGCAATACCAACGCTCCCGATGGATACTTCCCATTTGATTCAGGACTGATGCTCTCGCTCGCCGCTGAAAACGGGCCCTTTGATAAGACCAGCGCTCCCACTTTATTTTCCCCTGCTTTTCGCTAATGAATCGCATTCTCGCCTCGGCGCCGCAAGGGGGGGCCCACTTCAATAACAGCGTTCCCGCGCGATGCTCCCTTCCTTTTTGCCCAGAGCTGGGGCTCTTGCTCGCCGCCGAAAACTGGCCCGCCAACAAAACCTGTGCTCCCGCTCTATACGTCCTCGTTCTTCACTTAGGAGTGAGGCTCTCGCCTCGGCGTTGCTAGCCGTCCCCCTACAACCAACAGCAACACAAGTGCTCCCGCTCGTCAGGGGTGGGATGCTCGTCTCGGCATCGCCTCTGGAGGGCCTCTGTGCGGCCTAAGGAAGGCCCGAGAAGGGCCCAGCAAAGGTCCTCAAAGGGCATCGAAGAGGTGCCTACAAATTTCCAAGATCTCCCCAAGACAATCCCAGAGGGCGCTCAGACGGCCCGAGGAGCCCCCGAGGATTCCGAAGACCTTGATGGGCCCATCTCGGGGCTTTCTGAGGCCATATCGGAGCCATCTGAGGCCATATCGGAGGCCATATCGGAGCCATATCGGAGCCAGTCGGAAACGGAAAAGTCGAAAGGGCATGCATCACTCATCTTCCAAAGGTGTTGAACGGAGTTTGGCCCCTCATCCTTGGGAGGCTCCGTGGTCACTTGGAGCCATCTTTGGGTGTCGTGGGGCTTCTCTGAGGCATGTTGGAGGCTATATTGAGCCATCTTGGTCCGCCTCGGGACATCTTGGAGGCCATCTTTGGTTTTCTGACGCCATCTTGGTCTAAAAGCGTCCCGATGATGCCCCAGGGATTCAAAATGATGTCAACAACCTGATGCTTCCAATGATTTTAGCTTTGAGCGAAGGGGGGCTTCAATATCAGTCCCCACGTCGTACCCCGCAACATCGCCTCTTGGGGCGTTTTGTGGCGCTCGTGAGCCTGTTTTGGAGTCCTCCTGGGCTCCTCTTTTGGGGCTCCTCGGGCCATCTTGGAAACCACCTTGGGCAATCCTGGCTCAGCTTGGAGCCATCTTAGGCCCTCAAGGATTTTCTGACCCCTCGCCACCCCTGCATTGCAGACCCAGGGGGGGGAGAACCACAGGGTTGGAACGAACTCGTTAAATCACCTGCGCCTTGCAGGGCTGATGTGATTCAAGCGGGAAGCTGCGCGCCCAGGCTTCGCATCCTTCTTGCCATGTGAACAGGGCGCCACGCGGCTGGGGAGGGATGGCGAGGGAGGGAGGGGAAGGGCGGGTGGCGTGCGCTGAATTTCTCCAGGCGGCCCGGGCCTGGCCAGCTGGCGCGCGCGCAGGGCGGCGCGCCGGGCCCCCTCGCCGCCTCCCGCGCGCACAGCAGGCGTCAGCAGGAGCGCGGCTGCCCGCGGGGGCAGCACCGGCGCTCACCCCGGGGTACGGCCGCGCCGATGGCTGCGCTCACAGCGCAGCCGAGGCGCCGGACCGCAGGCACGCCACCTGGCCGGAGTCCCGCGCCGCTGCTTGCGCCTGCCACGCGGCGCCGGCGAAGAGGGCGCGCGCCGCCTCGGCGTGCCGATGGGGCGCGCAGGCCCCGCCGGCCTCCGTCGTTGCCCGCGTCCTTTGGCTCCGCGGCGGGCCGAGCCCTGGCGGCGCGGCGCCCAGGCTTCGCACGCTTTGGGGGAGGGAGCTTCGGGTGCTCTGGCCCATGCCCAGGAGGTTCCCCTCTGAGGATCGCTGGGTGCAGGCCAGGCAGTAAGGCTGGGCTTGTGTGGAGCGGATGGTGATTCCGTGTCGCTCGTTTTGGCTCGTCCCATTGACCCAACCTGGCGCTAAGTAATGGCTGTCGGGCTGTTTTACAGTGCCAGTCTGATGCAAGGGTGCCGTGCACTTCGACCAGCATTGAATAGCGCGTACTTCTGGGAGTGTTCACTTCATAATGATCTTGAACCCCGACGCGATTCTTTCCGTGTGCAGCATCATCAGGCGGTGCAGGGGGCTGGGAAACAAATCAGCCTTTTCTTTCGTATGGCGTTATATCACGGCGTTACCATCTCACTGAGCTGTGTCAGTGTTTGGGCCACCAGGGCTCGTTAGTACTATCCCGATCCCCCGCTCCTCTTCCTCATTGTTCTACTGCGACCTCTTCCTCAGACTCCTCTTCTCCCCCTACCTGTCCTCCTTCGTCTCTTATTTTCTCCTCGTCTTGCCTCGTTGTCTTGCCTCGCTCCTCCTTCACGTCATCCTCCCTCTTCCTCGTTCTCATATTATTCGTCGTCCTTCTCCCGCTTTCCCCACTTCCCTCCCCCGTCCCTCTGTCCTTCATGTCTCATCTCCCCTTCACTCGCAGAGGCGCTTGCTGAGCCTCACTATTGTGAGACGTACGCGGACCTGGTGTTCACCTTGAGGCTCTTGGTCGGGGAGTTTTGCGGAGAGGGGGTCGCGAAGAGAATGAGACGACGATGTGATGCTGGTTATGATGAAAATTATTGTGTCGATGCTGACCAAGGGAAAGAGAGGGAATACGGGGATGAGTAATAACGGCGGACATTGACAGTGGCGGCGGCAATGGTGCTGGGGATGGTGATGCCGATGGCGGCAGCCCGGGCGCCTTTTTGCCGACCAGGGCCCAGCTCGCAGCTCGTCTTGCCGGGGTCCCACTCAGTTGCAATCCGTGAGGGCGGGTGGCAGGCCTCGATCGCCCTCAGCGCACCGAGGCGGGAGCGGACCTTGTCCCCTCGCGCCCACGTCAGGCGCGCCGAACTCGGCCGCCTCCTCCTCGGCCCGTGAGGCACGCATGCCGCAGGCCGCGTCGCCTCCGAACGACTTGTCTCCACGGCTTCTGGCGCCCGCACAGTGGCATGGGCTCGCCCAGCCAACCCGAGGCCGCGGGCGGTCCCCCAGGACGCAGGTGCCTCAGGCCCTTCAGCTGCCTGCCCGTCGCGCGGCGCTGGCACTCACTGGTGGGCGAACGGGTCCAAGTCCCGAACGGGGTGTGCCCGAATGCGTTTTTTTGTAGCTTGGCGCTGGTTTCGCCTGTGGATGTAGCGATCTTCAGAGGAGATGTTCGCGAGGTGTGATGTGCGTGCGGTCTGGATAAGCATGTGCGTTGTTCGTGGTGTCGTGTTGCAGTACTTTGCTAGCCGTCGTTCTCAACGGTCGGTTGTGGTTGATCGCTTCTTGCGATTGACATGGGGCGTTGATGCATTGGCGTACGATGGCTTGGTACGGTCTGGATGGATGGTTCGTGGTGGCTTTCGGGGCCGCGCGAGTGTTGTGGTTATTACTTGGCCGGTCATCTGCGGGGCCTTTGCTTCGTGTCGAGTTGGGCCGCCCCGTGCCTTGCGCACCTGCGCGTGTGGCGCGCCAGCCATTCCCGTGGCAAATGGCGAGCCAGGCGCATTTGGCGCACCTGCCGCGGCCAGAGCAGCACCTGGCACACTTCGCGCAGTTGGTGCCTCTGGCTCACTCGGTGCGCTTCGCACTTTGCGCGCCCCGCGCGCCAGAGTGTTCTTGCGCGGCTCCCAATCGCGACGCACCTTGAACGCGCGTCGCGGGGGGGGGCAGGAAGGATGATGGATGCGGACGATGATAATGACGACTCTAGTTAATTTGCAATGGGGGGTGGGATATGGGGGCGAGGAGGGGGGATTCAGAGGAGGAGAGGAGGACAAGTCGGGCGGGGGGGGTGGGGGAGATGATGGATATGCGAGGGGCCCAGGGCAGAGGAGTTGTTCGGGGCGGGGAACGGGGGGAGATTGCGAAGAGAGGGTGCGGGGAGGGCCGCCGCCGTCGTCGTCGCCGTTTTTTCCGATTCCGTTCACACAGATTCTGCTCACCCTTGACCAGGATGAGGGAAGTGAAAGCGATGGCGAGGAAGAGCGCGCAGGAACGGGCGCCTGGAAGGGAGGAGGGAATGGACGGGAACTGGGGAAATAAAGGGAACGGGTAGGGGAGATGTCGGAAGGGAAGGTCGGGCCCAAGCTTGTTTCCACCTCGCGCTTGCTGTTGCTACTGCGGCTGTCCTCTCATCGCTGCTTGTGACGTCTTCACATATCGGTCCTCTCCCTGCTGCTCCTCCCCCCCTTTCCTGCCGCTGCCAGTGCCCCTCCTCGTGCCCGCGCCCCGCGTGACGGTTCTGCCGACGTGATCTGTGTCTCATGGGTTCCAGGGTTCCTGGGCCCAGGGCTTCCCAGGGCCCCAGGGTGCCCCGTTGGGTCAACGTGTCTTGGGTCAGGGCCCACGGCGGCCCGTGAACTAAATCGGTTTAGCGCGGCGCGCGATCCGTTAAAAAGGCGAAGGGGTGGAGATATCGGAAGAGGGTCAGGCGGCAGGGGAGGAGCAATGATGGGACAACAACGGGTGCTCCATCAAGTAAATGGGGCCGTCGTGGGCCCCCCGGGCGCCACTCGGGCCACCCGGGATCCTTCGCGGGTTTTTCAAATGGCCTCTTTCGAACATTATCGGAGCCGTTTCCAAGCCTCAGCAAAGCCGAGCGGGCGAGAAGGCGAAAAGGCAAGCATCGTCGACTGCGTGTGTGTGTGTGTGTGTGAAATATTTGTGGGAGATTCCGTGGTCGTCCGGGGCCGCCCATGGGCTGTTTTTGGGAGTTCGTGGACGCGCATTGGGCCATATATTATTCCAGCCTGGGCTACCCGTTGCCATCCGGGACGCCACCTTGGTCTGTCAAGGGCCTTTTTGGGGACGCGCAATCGGGAAATGGGCAACACACACGCTCTGGCGATGATATTTTGTTGCTCGGCCAAGACTCTGCAACCTTGGCTGTATCCTTGCTTGCTCAGCGAGTTCGAGCAAAAACACTATTATGTAGAGATGCGCTGCCTGCCGTCAACGTTGTGGCACTGATGCCGAGAAGGCAATGCAAGACAATGTGTCCACCAACCAGCCCCAACCAACCAACCACTATCGAGTCGCAGTGCATAAAATGCGCAAGCCGCAGACCCCTTCTTCGAGAGAGCTGTTATACGACTTGACAATCTGGACAAGATGCTTGTCGCCCAAACTCCATGCGATGCCTATGGCGGAGAAGCCTCTGTGTTGAGAGCGCCATGGCTTCACAGCGCGATTTACTACACGCTGCACGCCTGCAGCCTGCCACTGGGTGCAGTACGGCATCACAATACGAGTCAAAGGCTGTTGCTCATGGACAGTCGTGCCAGGGAGGCGAAAAATGGGGGGCCGCACCCCCAAGATTCGTGGTAATAGTGCGATGTGTGAGGAATGCTGACGCAAAATGCTACAAAACTTCTTGATCTCACTGTCGGCGTGCTGCCGCTCCGAACACAAACGGCATACGCGGAGCGCGTGAGCGAGCGGCCATACTCGGTGCACGCCGGCGGGATGCATGCTGCGATCGCTGAGGGGATCCACAAAGACGACCGCTTGATATGGATGCGGTGATCCATGATGCCCGTGGAGCGCCAGCGGGGCCCACGGTAAAACACGACGTCGAGCATCTGAACCTCATCGGAGGCGATACTCTCAACTTCTAGCTTAAATACCGTTGACAGCTCTTGCAATCTGCCAATAAGGGCATCCAGCTGTGCTCTGGACCCCGAATGCACCAGCAGAATGTCGTCACGATACCTAATATAAGCTACTATGCCGTGCAACTCACATAAACGATCTTGAGACACGCTGTCGCGCTCAACTTGGTTGAAATACGCTGCGTCAGCAACCTCCCCACTACAAGGGAGTCCCATGCCAGCGCCGACGGTGACCTTCCAGACCTTGTCGGGCGCTGTGGGGCACGACACGTACTGGCAATCCAAAATCGCACGCAGCAGCTTGGCGTACGCATCTTGTTGGACGCCGTCGAAAAAAGCTGAGGAATGTGTGACAAGATCGGCATGCAAACCAGACATAACATATTATTTTATGTCTATTTTCACAAAGTGGCAATCGGCTGGCACGACCGTGCGCGACATGATCTGTAATAGGTGCTGGGTGTCGCGAGCCAGAAACGGAACACGCCTAAGATGAGGGAGCAACGTGTGGGAGATCCACCGCATTGCTGGAGCCATCGGATCACGAACACTACAGTGGAGGAGGCGCAACTCCACCTTGCCAGGAGGCTTGTGCGTCTTAACGATGGCCCCAACGCGCGACACGATGTCTTCGCACCGGCTCGCGTCCACGTCTGAAAGCATGGCTCGCTCGAGTGCCCTGTCATCTAAAACCCTGCACGTTTCGCGAACAGCCTCGATGAAATCAGTCACCACTGTCGCCCCAAAACTGTATGGAGCGAGCTTCTCTCGGTAAGCGGGGCCAGACAATAGATGCATGTAGCGATCGTGCAAATCGCTCTTGCGGATTAAACAAAAACCAGCATCTTTATCTGTGGGGAGCGCCCCGACGCCCGTTTTTTGGAGGAGGGAGAGAGCAAGCCGAATCACTGCGGGCACTGGCGGAGCGCGACGCCGGCTCTGTACAAGGCACGCCTGCCAGACCTCACGCCTGACAGCGTCAACCATTCACTGCAGAGACAGAGGCGAAACAACATCACACGGTTTGCAATATCTTCTCTTGGATCGCAACCGCCACCAGCTTTCGCCAGCCGTTGGGTCTTCGGCAGTAGATCCGGAAACCCATCTCCAACGAAGCTTATGCTCCCAATTCCAAAGGGCAAGAGAAACGTGAGACAAAGAAGATTTGGGTGTCATGCAAAACACGTGCTTTCGATGAAACATCGTAAGCAAAAACCGGACTGGCCAGGCCAGTTCGGTATCTGAAGGAACAGTCGCACAATTCGAACGCGGGTGAAACAAATAGATTGGTTTATCATCACATGATAGCAAAGAGTTGAAATCAGGGGCGGGGAGATCCCGAGTGAATTGCAGGAACAAACGGGCCAGCCTCACCGTCACGTCCCCCTCCCTCGCCGCCTGCCTCTGGAGGATCTGCCACGTCCAGAACCTCTCGCGCTTCCTCGTGCGCCAGCGCCCTTCCCGGCGCTCGTCTTGCCGGATGCCTTGCTCTTGCCTTTGCCCTTTCCCTTGGACTTGCCCTTTGACTCGCCCTTGGGGGAGGGCGTGGCTTTCCCGTTGCCCTTGGACTTGCCCTTCGGGTCGCCTCGCCCTTTGCCTCTGCCTTTGTCCTTGCCCCCGCCCTGTCCGGGCGGGGACGTGCCGTTTTTTGATCAGGCAGCAAGGCGTACGGCGTCGGCGCGGTCGACAGAGGACTGGCCAGCGGCCATGGTGGAGGTGTACAGGGATGCCGCCTGGGCGGCTATGGTGCCGCCACCTGCCGGACCTGCTCGGCCAGGCACGCGCTGGCGAGCGATCACACGAGCATCCACGGCCATGTTGAGGAGGTCCACAGGGCTCGTCCCCATCATCTGCTGGATCAGCTTCTCCTGGACCTGGTCCTGCTTGACCTTCTCCTGCTGCTTGCGAGCCTTCTCGTCTGAAGCTCGAGCCACCGCCTTGGCGTAGATGTCGGTGGCTTTGGCCTTCAACCGTTCGGCGTCGACGCCGGCAGTGGGAAGCCGTCGTCGTTGTCCAGGTCCAAATCGAGGTCCAAGCCTGAAACGGACAGGGCGGCCGCGCATGTCTCGACGAAGTAATCCCTCTTCGTGAGCCTGCGCAGGTCGTCCCTCTGCCTGGCCAGGAGCAGCACATCGAGTTTCTTCTGAATGATGAGATGAGATGAGACACCAGCAGGAGGCCAGAGTTCTGTCATATAGCCAGGATTAAAGTTGGCCGTGCTGTCGCCGCCTCTTTCGGGCGCGGCGCGTCCCCCGCGGACCCGCCCTCAGTGTGAGGGCGCTTCCGCTGGACGCTCAAATCCAATCAAGCGATCTATCAGCCTGGATGGATGATATGGAAGGGGAGCGGGAGAGGACGAGGGACAGACGAGAAAAGAACAAACACGCACACAACACAAACAAAACACACGCACACACGCGCACGCCACGCAGCCGAGGGGACAGAAGGACACAGAGACAAGAAGAGAAATCGAGAAGTCTACTGCATGGCGGCTTGCACCGCCTTGAGTGCAGCAGCCACGTTGCGCACTCCCTTGCCGCGCGGGGGCTTGCCATCATACACAGAGCCACCATCTACTGACTCAAAGTATTCAATCATCACCGCCTTGAGCTGCTGCCCCTTCGGACCGAAGCACATCTCAATGTTGGTGCCCTTCTCAGACTCGTAGCACTCCCGGCAGTTGCACGTCGTGATGACGTCACGGAATGATTTCGTCTCAGTCAGCGCGGCCGCCGTCTCCATCAAGAGTTTGCGAGAAGCATCTTCAGGGTGCAACTTCGCCATTTGCAAGATCAACCCTTTGGCGGCGTGCTGGTCCGGGGTGCCGAGATTATGGCCTCGTTTCCCATGGGTATCCTTCTCATATTTCTGGGTGTATGCACGCATGGCTTTGATGAGGTCATGATCATTGTCCTTCAGATTGAATACTGCGTGCAAGTCGCCCGTGAGCGTCCGAATCCGGAGGTCATTGAATGACTCCAGCTTGGCCGTCTCAATTGCCAACTTGGCTGTGGCCTGGAGCAAGGGCATCGCAGCATCACCTCCAGAATCCGAAGCAGGAGAATCTGTCTTCCGCTTCTTCCCGCCGAAGGTCTTGAGAATATCATCGTGAGCCTCCATAGCCATCTCCCGAAAGCTAGAGGTCGATGAGGGGAGGACGAACAGCAGTGGCAGCAAGACCAGCCGGAAAATGAGCAAACAATACATGTGCACGTACAGTGTCGAAATCTCGAGCCTCGAAAGGAACATCGCAAATCGGGCATTCTGAAATATCCAATGGTTCAAGATCATCTCGAAATGCTGATCCCCTCCCAGAACATCGGCCTGTACATATACTGTGTACAATGTGACGACGACATGTGACGATAGATGCAAATGTGTGTAGACATACCCAACACCTGTTAGTGAAAGACAATAGTCTCCCCACGCATTGTTCCCCATGAGACCCACCTCTGGTGTGTACCATGTGTGCCTTAAGCTTGGCGTACGAGTCGAAACGGGCTGGGCACGGCAATCCACCCTCCAAGGTACAAGTGCACGTATATGGAAGCTCCAGCTCTGGCAGGCTAGCCGGAGGATCAGGATACCACGCGGAATGTCCGGGAGGCGGTACACGGACACACACACACACACAGCAGCAGCGCGCACGGAGGAGAGGTCGACATTGATGAACGCTTCACGGATATCAGGGACAGCAAACAAACGTTGAAGCCGGTCTCCGACCATCTCGGGGATGAATGCCGTGTCGTCATTCTGGGACAGCAACCCCAAGTCTGCCAGGAGTCCCCGGGCCCAAGGATTTGCATGCACAGAGAGAGTGCCATTGATGTTATACATGGCATTCCGCTCAAAGTCAAGATTACCCAGAACAACGCAGAGAAGCACGCGACAGTGTTCAGGATGTCGCGCGATCTGTTGCCATAGCCAGAGTCGTTGCACTGCAAGTTCTGTGCGAGTGCCACACCAACCAAACATACGGTGTTTTTCACGATTGTGTAAAGAACGGTATTTCTTCGTGCCTCCCCCGTCAAGTTCAGTTTTGCGGCACCCGGCTCCCTGCAAGAGAACGCGAAAATGTCGTGTGATAAGGGCGTCAAACTCCCGATAGTCGCCCATGGGCGGCATGGCTGCACTCTGGCCTGAAAGCAGTTGAGAAACAACACCCCCAAGATACACAATCTTCGAGAAGCGTCTTGGAGCTTTACCCCAAAATCCGGACAACATCCCAAATCTCGCCCGTGTATTCTGCAGTGCTTTGTGTTTTTCGATGTGGTTCCCGAGATTGACGTGGTACATATACCCCAAATACAGTGCAAAATAATGAACGTGCAGATTATAGTGCTTGTTGAAGTGCAACGTGTACCTGGCCTCCCGGTCAGCACCCTTCCCGAAAAACTTGACGACGGTTTCTCTCTTGTCGTGGTTTTGCGAATAACCTGCGAGGCGGACGTGACGATCAAGAGATTCATCAAGCCAAAGCTGACGACGACGAAACGCTTGCAGAGAATGCGTGCCCATTTGTTCCCCATATCCTAAGATGGGGTTCTTGTTATTCCCCATATCCTAAGATGGGGTTCTTGTTATTACTTGGACGCCTCCTACTCCTCCTCCTCCCTCCTCCTCTTTTCTCCTCCCCTCCTGTCGGGCTTACTCATACTCAGACTTGCTCATACACAGACTTACTCATACTCAGACTTACTCATACTCAGACCTACTCATACTCAGACTTACTCACACTCAGGCATACTCATACACAGACTTACCCATACACAGACTTACTCACACCCAGCCGTACTCATACACAGACTCACTCATACCCAGACTTACTCATACACAGTATTAGTCATACTCAGACTTACTCATACCCAGACGTACACATACACAGACTTTCTCATACACAGACCTACTCATACCCAGACTTACTCATACACAGACTTACTCATACACAGACTTACTCATACTCAGCACCCCTAAGGGGAGCCGCCAGGGGTGGTTGCACGGGCTCGTTCGCGGCCATTTTGTGGGGATGTCTCAGGCGGTTTGCCTGTTTCTGTGCCCAACATCCTTCGCTTTCGGAGCAGATTTGGAGGATGTCTCGAGCGAGGCGCTCATTTCAGCACCCCTAAGGGGAGCCGCCAGGGGTGGTTGCACGGGCTCGTTCGCGGCCATTTTGTGGGGATGTCTCAGGCGGTTTGCCTGTTTCTGGGCCCAACATCCTTCGCTTTCGGAGCAGATTTGGAGGATGTCTCGAGCGAGGCGCTCATTTCAGCACCCCTAAGGGGAGCCGCCAGGGGTGTTGCACGGGCTCGTTCGCGGCCATTGTGTGGGGATGTCTCAGGCGGTTTGCCTGTTTCTGGGCCCAACATCCTTCGCTTTCGGAGCAGATTTGGAGGATGTCTCGAGCGAGGCGCTCATTTCAGCACCCCTAAGGGGAGCCGCCAGGGGTGTTTGCACGGGCTCGTTCGCGGCCATTTTGTGGGGATGTCTCAGGCGGTTTGCCTGTTTCTGGGCCCAACATCCTTCGCTTTCGGAGCAGATTTGGAGGATGTCTCGAGCGAGGCGCTCATTTCAGCACCCCTAAGGGGAGCCGCCAGGGGTGTTTGCACGGGCTCGTTCGCTGCCATTTTGTGGGGATGTCTCAGGCGGTTTGCTTGTTTCTGGGCCCAACATCCTTCGCTTTCGGAGCAGATTTGGAGGATGTCTCGAGCGAGGCGCTCATTTTCACCCCCCAGGTGGGCCAGATTTTGAGGATGTCTCGATCGGTTTGCTTGTTTTGGTGGCCAGGCTCGTGGGCGCATATTCTTCTCAGGATGCCACAGGAGGCTCCAACAGGCTCCAGGAGGCCCCAGGAGACCACATGAGGTCCCAGGAGGCATCAGGAGGCCACAGAAAGACTCAAGAGGCCACAGGATGTCCCAAGAGGCTCCAGGAGGCCCCAGGAAGCTCCAGAAGGCCTCAGGAAACCACAGGAGGCCCCAGGAGGCAACAGGAAGCGCCAGGAGGCTTCGGAAGGCAACAGGAGGCCCCGAGAGGCCCCAGGAGCAGGAGGCCTCAGAAGGCAACAGGAGTGGCTCCAATCCCATGTGTTTTACGTATGCTCCTATCGATTGGGCCTCACCTGGAGCACGATTCTTTGATGTTCTACGTATGTTTCTATAGATGGTCCTTCTCCTGTGTACACAATCCTAAATGTTTTACTCATGTTCCTATGTATTGGGCCTCTCCTGGGGCACGAGTCCTTGGTGTTTTACGCGTGTTCCTATATATTGCCCTTCTCCTGTGGCTCTAATCCGCAATGTTTTATGTACGTCTGTTGCTATAGATTGCGCCTCTCCTGGGGCACGAAACCTTCCTAGGAGGTCCCAGGAGGTCCCAAGAGGCTCCTGGATACCCCAGGAAGCCCCAGTAGGTTTCAGCAAGGCCCCAGGAGGCCCCAGGCTCATGCACAGAGACGCGCTCGTACTACTGAGGCTCAGTCACACTCCAATGCATTCGCAGTTTGATTGATGTCCAGACCGTCACAACTGAAGCCCGTTAATATTCGAAAGCTCTTGCGCCTAGACATTCACGGCGGGCAGGTCCATGCGAGTAGATGCACATATGGGGAGCTCCACGCAGTGAGTAATTACTTGGACGCCTCCTACTCCCTCTCCCTCCTCCTCTTTCCTCCTCCCCTCCTGTCGGAGTTACTCATACTCAGACTTGCTCATACCCAGACTTGCTCATACACAGACTTGTTCATACGCAGATACTCTCATACTCAGATCTACTCATACTCAGACCTACTCTTACTCAGACATACTCATACTCAGACTTACTCATACTCAGACATACTCATACTCAGGCATATTCATACTCAGACCTACTCATACTCAGACTTACTCATACTCAGACACTCATACTCATACCCAGACGTATTCATATTCAGACTTACTCACACTCAGACATATCCATACTCATATTT